CAGGAACGGGAGGCAGCCTGTGTGTGGAAACCAGAGCGGCATCTCGCACTTCTCACACGTGTCCAGTAGGTGGCAGTCTTGTCTGGACACGAAGGGAAAGAAACAGGACACTGGTTTTCCAAGGCTCCGCAAGCAAAGAATTGTAAAACAAACTTCATCAGTGTGGAATGCCTTGGAAATAGGAGCGTGAGCCACCATTCCCAGGCGCCATCCCATTTTATTTTATTTTATTTTTTTTTATTTTTTTTTAAAGATTTTTTTTTTTTATAGAGGCATTTTTATTTATTTATTTATTTGTTTGTTTGTTTGTTTATACATGCACTGGGTACAGTCAGAAGTGCGGGAGGGTGAGAGAATTCACCAGAGCCAGAGCGGGGAACAGAGCAGGCAGAAGGACCGAAGTACACTGCTGAGGGGGGGAGCAGCAGGCGGCAGGAGAGGTCTGCGCGCCATGCGGGACCCTTCTCTGGTGACCGGGGAGCAGCCAGGGAACGAACCGGCGCTGCAAAGGCTGCGGGCAGCTTCGCAACCCAGCACTCAACCACTGCGCCACCGGGGAGGCCCCTCGCCATCCCATTTTAAAGCTCCTTCTGCCAAGAGAATACTCTGTCTCCTACCCACTGTTAGTCCCTGGGCATGTCATTTCTTCCGGGTCTCTTCCCCTGGCAGACACATTATCACTGAGCTTCACCTCCCCCCTCCCACCCTCACCCCCACCCTGCGGGTCCCATGGTTCCTCTTGGATTGGAGAATCTTTCCTCTTGCACTAAATTTCCAAGTGTCAGCGACGTGCTCCCTGCATCTAGCTGTTTTGTTCACTGCTGTTTCAGTCAGCACCAGCGCTACAGCTCACACCTGCCCAGTCAGTATTTGCCAAGTGAATAAGCAATAAGAGCCACTTCTCTGCCTCACTGGAGTGGTCTCTCCATTGCTCAAACCCACATGATCACATTTCTGGGGACTCTCGCCTCTCCCTCTCCAGGCCCCACTCTCTGGACTGCCTCCTGTCTCTCTGGAAACTGCATCTCCATCCTTTTCCTCCACCAGTTCCTTAGGTGCTGGTTTCTTTTTCTCTCAGGATTCAATCCCAGGTCCTTTCTCCTCTTTCTGTGGCACCTTCTCCCTCCCATAGTTTAAATTACCACCTATAATATTCTATCAAAAGCAATAATACTCAGCCTTACACAGTGCTCACTGCAGGTGCAAGGCACTTGCTCAGACTCTTATTTAATCCTCCCAGCACGCTGGCCAGGTAGAACTATTATTTTTCCCACTTCATGGATGAAGGGTGGAGGCATTGAGCCACCTCCCTATAGCTCCAACTCCTCTCCCCACCCCACACCTTGCTTCCTTCTGAATATCTTGAATGTCACTGACCATGTTTGGAATTGAACTCCTGATACCCTAGCTCCAACCCTGTCATTCTCCAAGATTCAGTGAAAAGCACCCAATAACCAGTGCTAGAGGGGCCTCCCTGGGGGTTCAGGGGTTAAAGTCTCAGTGCTATCAAGAGATCACCAGCCACTAAGGCATGAGTTCGATCCCCAGGCAGGGAGCAACCCACATGGCATAGCAGACCTCGCCTATCTCGCCCGCTGCTCCCTCCTCCATCTCTGATGAATCCTCTCACCTCCTGCACCTCTGGCCCACACCCCAGTTCTTACATGCATAAATAAATAAAATAAATCTTAAAAAAAACCACCAGCACTAGAAATGTGGGTCATCATCTTCTCTTCCTGCTTTCCACCTTCAACCCACTTCTAACAAGACCAGTCAACTCTGACTCCCTAATACTATTCCAATCTATTCCCTCTTCTTCACTTGTCCTCGCTATTTTAATTCAGATCTTTGCATTTCTTACCTCTAAACCAATTTTCATCTCATCAGGGGGGAGTCTGTGTTCCTGGTCCTTCACCACAGTAGAGGCAGCAGAGCTTAGTGGACAAGAACGTGGCCTTTGGAATCCCAAAGACTCATTCCACTGCTTGTTAGCTATTTGACCTTGGGCACCTTACTCAGCCCTTTTGAGTCTTGGTTTTCTCTGAAACAAAAGATGCGAAAACACCCACTGTACAGGGTGGTGGGCACGTGCAAAGCCTGTCACCCGCCTCCACGGACGAGCTTTCGCTCCAGACCAACACACTGTGTCCCAGCGCCTGCTTGCCTGGCCAGAGGTGCACGTACTCTCCAGAGGGCACCTGCCACACTCTTCGCTCTGGCCCCTTCCCCCCTCCCCAACCCCGGGCTTTGTCAGCTCACACGTCACTTTCTCTAAGGAAGCCTCCTCCTGATTTCCTGTCCTCCCCCACCCAACTCACCCTTGCATCAGCCTGGCTACCTCTGTGTTCCTGTGGCTCTTACAACACTGCATCACAAAGGCGGTCTCCTTACTAGTATCCCCCATTAGACTGTGTCGTCCCTGCAGGCTGGGATTGTATCTTAGTCCTCACAGCTCTAGCACAGCGGGCTGGCACAGAAGATGCACTAAGTTTTTTGTTAGATAAACAAATGAATCAATGAATAAATCTGTGGCTGCTTTTGTTATAGGACAGGGAGAGGGGCAGCCCAAACCCCGCAAACCTGCCTATTCTAAATGGGTTCTGCCATCCGCCGCATCAACACAAAACATAGGAGACTTTAATGGGAAGGAACTTTAATAAAACTAGGAAACAATACAGGAAAGGCAAAGAGTCTAGTTTCTAAATGAAGCACCCAAAGTTACCCGTCCCCTCGTGGGTAAAAGTCCATCCATATGGGAATGGCGCAGAACAAGGCCCCAAAACCTGCTACAAGTCTAAAGCATCTTCCAGTGGGGACCCACAGAAAAGGGTCACAAACAACCGGACAAGCCCGGAAGGAAAAGAGCAAAATTAACATCAAGATAAAAGCTGTCATTGTCACCTCCCCACGGGTCTCACCCACATCTGTGTCACCCAGTCCACGACCAAAAGACAAGCGCAGTTTCTTCACGTGTCTCTAGGCTCCATGTGCCTCCTCCAGGTCTCCTGGCTCCATCCTGCTTCCTTCCTTCCTCAGTCTCTTCTTCAGCTTCTCCTCTTCCTGCTCAGCTCCACCCTCCCTTGGGTGGGGCAGGGAACCTCCCCCTTTCCTGGGGACCACCCTGTTACAATCTAATGTAGGGCAGTTGGGTATTGTCAGCACCACAGGCTTTCCAAGCACGGCTCCAGCATGGCAGACTCTCGCAAGGCCCTGCTCTCTTCTCTGAATGAGCAGCTGTGCTTAGTACCCAGTATAATGTGTTGTTGTGGCTCTGGCGGAGACATGTGGGCAGGGACTAGCACTTTTACTTTGGGTGTAAACAGTGACAGCTATGAATTCAAAACTCAATCAGATATCACTCAGTGAACGAATCTCCATTTTTCCAAGGAGCTCCAAGCACTGCAGGTACATAAGCCATGAAGGATCGAACATGTAGTATAAAGTGACTGGGCAGAGTCAGACCTTGTCTCCCTAAGTGCTCGGGGCTGCATGAGCAGAGGATACTGTTTGTGGTCAGGGAAAGTTCATAAAAGTACCTCTACTGCTGTCCTTTCGGCACCGTGGCCACAGTCATGAGCATGCCCAGGCTTCAGAAGAGGCTCACCTCCAAGTGTCCTCCACGGTGGCAGAAAGGTCTGGTTGGGGCCTCCCAAGGTGGTGCAGGCATTAAAGTCTCCGCACTATCAAGCTATTCCAGCCACTGAGGCATGAGTTCGATCCCCAGCCAGGGAGCTGACCCCCATGGTGCAACAGGCCTCTCCTTTCTCGCCCGCTGCTCCCCTTAGTGTATTTCAGTCAGTCTGCCTGTTCTGCTCCCCACTCTGTCTCTGGTGAATCCTCTCACCCCCCCCCCCCCCGCACCTCTGGCCCACATACCAGTTCTTGTATGCATACATAAGTCTTTAAAAAAAAAAAAAGCTCTAGTTGGACCCCAGTGAAGTCGCCAATGCCAACTCCCTCCAGCCTCTCAAAGCCAGACTGATCATCCAGCAGCCGTGACTGCCCATTCTGGGCAAACAGACTAGTCAGGGACCCAGAGAATTTTCCTGCCTCCCCTGGGAAAAGTGGAGATAGGCCACACTTGACTCTGCTCTGGGGGACGTGGGTTCCATAGTCCTGTCTTCCATGGGGCAAGCACGTGTGTGTGGAGTTACATTTGCCCTCTGTGGCCTCCAGCTCCTGCCTCACCCTGCCCCTTCCAGCCCTGCCTTTCTACGAGTCCTTTCTCTTTACAAAAAAAATCCTCAGCCCTCCTACATCTTCCTGGGCACTCCCACAGCCTAGCAACTCCTTTTAGCCCCCGTTTCGCCAGATTATATACTTGGCACAATAGACCTTCTATTCTGAGTTGCCAAAAGGCTGAGTGCTGGAAAACACGGACGCCTGGAAAGTATCTACAGAAAATACCCTCAATAAATTCTAGAGCCCTCCTCCTTCCTCATCGATTCTTTCCTTCCTTTTGCTTCCACCGCTTCCTAGCTGTGGCAGGCAGGCCGAATGCTTTACTTCTCTGTGTCTCACCCCTCACATGTAAAAAGGGAGCAACAGTGGCCGCGTTCCTGCACAGTGAGCTTTGCTTGACTGGCAGGGGCTGCGGGACGCGCGTGGGAGACCCTTGGGCCGGGCTAGGTGAGCAAGGGCGCCTTAGGGCTGGTCCGAAACAACAGCTTCTGTCGGCTGCCCTCGGCCTTGCTGCCACCCCTTTCTCTTTTTTTTCTGGCACATGTCCCCCACCCACTTGCTCTGACTCCCTCTCACCCCTTGTTTTTCCCCAAACTTGTCTCTCTTCCCTCCTTCCCAAGTCCTGGACTCCGACTCCTCCTGGAAAGCCTTTAAGCCTCCTGGATGGATGGGGGTGGGGGGTGTCTGACCCGCCTCCTACAGTGCTGCCTAGCAAAGGGGATGGGAGTAAAGCTGCTGGGCTATGGGGGCTCCTTGCGGCCTGGGTGGCAGTGGGGAGTGTGGGCGCCGCAGGTCTCTCCACGACTCTGCCCCCGCAGCCATCGCGCTCATCAAGGACCTGGTCAACTACGACGTGTGCCAGCAGCTGCTCCAGGGGCTCGTGGCGCTGCTGATACCATCGGTCAAGGAGACCAGCAAACTGCAGCCCAAGATCCTCAATGGTAGGGATCCACTCGGAGGGCGGGGGGTGGGGGGGGGGTGTTGCACCGGGCCGGGAAGGGTCCCGCAGACACAGGGCCTCTCCCTCTGCCAGAAACGTCGGTTCTCCAGGTCACCGCCCACCTGCCGGTGTTCCTGCAGCAGGCAGCGGCCGCCAAGGCCATCAGGTAAGCAGCGGCCGGGCAGAGGGTGGGCCTCAGAGCCACGGCGGCGCGCAGGAGCCGGCGGGAGGGTGCCCGGGGGTCACTGCAGCCGGCGTTGCTCCCCAGGGTGCTGGTGCGCAACAACGTGGCCCTCGCCGAGGAGATGCTGCACCTGCGCGTGGTGCACAGCCTGCTGACTGCCATGGGCAACACGGACCACAGCAACAGCCAGCGGCAGGCCAGCCTCACGCTGGAGGTGAGCGCCGGGCGCGCGCGGGTGGGGAGGTCCCTGCCAGCCCTCCCGCCAACCCTCCCACCCAGTTCTTCGTGCAGACGTTCCCGCTGGTGGAGGAGCTCGTGCGCAAGTCCATGGGGGAGGAACTCTTCAAGCTCTTCCTCGTGAGTGCTCCCGCCCCTCGCCGCCACCACGAGCAGGTGACCTGGGCGGAAGGGCACCCCTTCCCTGCACCGCTTTCCTGGTGGCAGCTGCAGGAGGGCCTGCCCGGGCCTGGCCCCCACCTGGCGCCTTGCCCTGCCCCGCCTGCCTCTGCCCAGCCCATCCCCCATGGCTGGCCGCCCTAGCTCCAGCTGACAGGCCTCACTCCTGCCCTCAGAGCAACGCCGAGGACTTGTACATGAAAATAGACAGCATTCAGGCGGACATCCTGGCGGCCAACAAAGTCAATATCTCCAAAGGTGAGTGGGGCGTGTGGGACCTGGGCAGAGGTGCCGCGGGCACCCAGACTCAGACTCGCCTCCCCTGCCTCCAGCTTTACACCTCAGCAGCCTCTCCCAAAGCAACATGAGACTTTACCTCGGCCCGCGGGATCAGAATCAGCTGACCTACACCCAGAGCTACCAGGAGGAGAACGGGCAAACAAATGAGTAGCAGCCTCTGAGGCAAGCCAGGAGGGGCAGGCTGTGTGGCAAGGAAGCCTGGCAGAGGGAGCCTGGGCTCAAGCTCCAGGGCGCACCACCTGGCCTGGGTGGGCAGCGGGAGGTGGGGTGAAGCATACCACTAGCTGGAGGCAGAGCTGCTGCCTGGGAAGGGTTCAATAAACAGTCTTGCTCTCTATCTGTTTGTGTGAGGAGGCGGGAGAGAAAGAGCAATGAGAGCTATGAGGATGGGTTTGGGGAGTGCCAGACGAAGGGTCCAGAAGGAAGGGTCATGAAGGTACTGGAACGTTGGAGGACTCCCTGCCGGCCTCTGCTCTTCTCCAGGGCACCACACCCACCTGGTTTTTCTCCTACCTCTCTGGTTGCTTCCTCTCATAGACTTTTGCTGAGTCCACCTCTTCAACCCAGGTTATTTCAAGTTAGAGAGAGGCTGGCCTCCCTGGTGGCACAAGGGGTTAGTTAAGTCTCAGCACTATGAAGCTTTCACCAGCCGCTGCAGCATGAGTTCGATCCCCGGCCATGGAGCAGCAGACCTGTCCTGTCTCACCTGCTGCCCCTCTCAGCAATGTATTTCAGTAGATCCACCTGTTCTGCTCCCCACTCTGTCTCTGGTGAATCCTCTCTCTCTCTCTCTCTCTCTCTCTCTCTCTCTCTCTCACACACACACACACACACACACACACACACAGCAGTACCTCTGGCCTATACCCTAGCTCTTGAATGCATAAATTAAAAAAAAACAAATCTTTTTTTAAAAAAGTTAAGAGAGAGGCTGACCTGGAGCTGCTTCTCTATCTACTTTTACACTCTGGAGTTCCCATCTAGCGTCAGTGCTTTAAATACCATTTGTATGCCATCGACTCCCACAGCTCCATATTCAACTAAACCTTTCACCTCATTGTCTCCAAAACTAAGAGTTCCTGATCCTGTGCCATCTTCCCCAGCTCAACTGATGCATCCTTCTTGCCACTCAGAACAAAACCAGTGGCTCTCCCCGAAGTCTCTTCAACATTTGTGTCCATTTAGTATCTGTGTCTGTTAGCGCTGCCTTCCAGAATTCCCCTGTAGCTCACTACCTCCCTTGCTAACTCCCAGGTGTGAGCCCCCCGCTGGCTCTCCTCTAGAGTCATCTGCTTTCTGCCCCATTCTCTTTTCAATACAGCAACGAGACTGGCCCTTTATCACTGTGCTCAAAACCTGGCAAGGAGGTCTTCTCTCTCCCTCACCTTCACGCAACTCCAGACACACTGTGTGCTTCTTGAAATTGACAGTTCTTGCTTTAGGGTTTTTGTACTGACTTCTCAACAATGAGAGAGGTTCTAGAACCTCTCACCCCAATATCTATCTGCACGACTAACTCCACACCTCCTTCCAACTCTACACAAAAGTCACCTTCTCAGTGAGGACTACTGTTTCTCAAGTTACAACCCACACTACCACTCCCAGGACTATAGGACCCCCCAGCTCCTGTAAGCTGCTATTTCTTCCAGAGCACGCGTTGCATTATTTATTTATTGTTTGTCTCTCCACCTGACTGTAAGCTACATGACAGCAAAGATATTTGTTTTCTTTACTGCTACACCCCAAATACTGAGAACAATGCCTGGTGTGCATGAATGAAATAGGTGTGGCGAAGGAATTGTCCCGCCAAGTCACAGGAAATGAAGTCAAAAAAGGGTAATTCTCCAGACTGCCACAAGAGGGCGTCACGACCCTGATATTATTGCGATGCTGCTGCTCAGCCTTCCCCGAAACTGACTCAGCCTCAGTTTTCCTCCAGTTGGGTTCAAGGAGGAAAGAAAAGTTGGGGGAATGCAGTTAGTTACGCTTTCCATAACGCTAAATAGATTTTCTCTTTTAAAGTAATATCCTTTTCTTTGGGGCCAAGTCAGTTTTACTATTTTTATTTACTATTTTTAGTCTTAAAATAGTCTTTCTTTTGTAGACAGTAAAAATAGTACCCCAGAGAGTTACAAAAATTTTAATAAGGGCCCGCCTGGTGGCGCAAGGGGTTAAGCACCACACTGTGAAGCAGTCCGCAGCCTCTGCAGCATGAGTTTGATCCTGGCTGGCCAGGGAGCTACCCACATGGTGCAGCAGACCTCTCCCGTCTTGCCCGCTGCTCCCCTCAGCAGTGTATTTCAGTCAGTCTGCCTGTTCCTTTCCCCGCTCTGTCTCTGGTGGATCCTCTCATCCCCTGCATCTCTGGCCTGTACCCCGGCTCTTGTGTGCATAAATAAATAAATCTTTTAAAAAAATTTAATAATTGGAAAATCAAAAACCTGGAAACCACTGTTCTAAAGTGATAATAGTTTAATAAAAACAATAGAAAGTTTAAATGAAAATTTTAGTATTATATAAATACCTAAAATAAATATGCATTACATGGATTTATTATTTATTTCAAGTTATAAACCTATACCTTTTAGGACCTCCCTGGTAGGCTCAGGGGTTAGAGTCTCAACTATTTATCACCAGTCACTGTGGCCTGAGTTCCATCCTCTGCCAGGAAGGTGACCCACATGGCACAGCAGACCTCTCCTGTCCCGCCCACTTGCTCCCTTCAGCAGTGTATTTCAGTCGACCTGCCTGTTCCATTCCCCATTCTGTCTCTGATGAATCCTCTCATCCCCTGTACCTCTGGCCTGTACCCCAGTTCTTTTTTTTTTTTCTTTAAATATTTATTTATTTATACAAGCACTGGGTACAGTCAGAAGCGCGGGAGGGCGAGACAATTCACCAGAGCCAGAGCGGGGAGCAGAGCAGGCAGAAGGACCGAAGGACACTGCTGAGGGGAGCAGCAGGTGGCAGGAGAGGTCTGCGCGCCATGTGGGACCCTCCTCCGGTGGCCGGGGAGCAGCTGGGGATCGAACCGGCGCTGCAGAGGCTGCGGGCAGCTTCGCAACCCAGCGCTCAACCGCTGCGCCACTGGGGAGGCCACTGTACCCCAGTTCTTGTATGCATAAATAAATCTTTAAAAAAATAAAGATTTATTTATGCATACAAGGACTGGGGTACAGGCCAGAGGTGTGGGGGGGTGAGAGTTTCACAATGGCGGCGTTTATTGTATTGCTCACTAATTATATTAAAGGTCCTTTCCATTAAAGGTCTTATGTGGTTTGTCTTGATGCTGCGGATGGCAGAAACCATTTAGAACAGGCAGGTTTGGGGGCTTTAGGGTGTCCCTCTCCCTGCCCTTTAACAGAACTGCAGCTTGGGCACTGCTTTGAAAACTTTGTGAACAGATCTGCCCAAGTCTGAACTTGACAGTTTTATTATTCAAGGCACCAAAAACAGGTTAACCTGTTATTTCCTGGGTAGCAAAGACCTGTCAGGCAACAGCTCCGTGCCAAGCCCCGTGCCAGGCTCAATGCTAAGTGGTCTCCAAGCCTTAGGGATGCCGTGTCCAGCCCTCTCTGGAAGGTACTTAACTCTCTTATAACCGTGTGGTTGCTAAGGGGTGGAATGAGGCTGGCACGCTCCGGAAACGGGCCCCTTCCTTCTCGGGGGGTCACCACCACCTTCTTAACTCAGCAGCGAAAACGAGGTGCGCACCCCAAGCCATGCCGGAGACAGGATATTTTTCTAAATACACCCCTAGACGGGGATGAAATTGCCTCACGCAGAGTCGGGTGCAGTGGTTGGGGCAGTAGAGACGCCGACGCCCCCCACGCACCTGATGCCAAGGTGGAGCAGGGCGGGACGGGAGCAGAACCCGAGACCTGACACAGGAGAAACTCACAAAGAATCACCAACAGCAGGAAAGTTTACGCGCAAAGCCGGTCAGCACAGCAGACAGCACAGCACTGACATAAATCAAGCAAGCCGCGGGGCTAGAAATACACACCCCACTTCCTCTGCCAAAGCCACACAGCAAACAAAGACTAAGTATAGCTACAGCACAACAGCTAGAAATCACTTAAAGCAAAAGCTAAGAAGCCAAACCACAGTCTTATTTTTGCACCGCATAGTGAGTCTTGCAGAAGCAAGACCTCAAAAAATTGGGCAAAAACTCAGAATTGTTCCTCTCCACGGAAATCTTTAGTAAAAGGCGAAAGATTTATACGATCTGAAGAGAAACCAGAGTATGCAGTTCGACTCGGTCCCATAGTCCTCGGGTAACTGTAACTCCTAGGACAGCAATGGTAATTATTTACGAAAAAAAACTGGTGACTTCTAACTTCATCTCAAAAAATTCTATGAAAGCTGCATGAGCTTTATAATTTAAAAAAGTCTAAATAAATAGAAAAATCTAGTTTTAAAGTAGGGGGGGGGGAAGTCCTGGGTGCAATGCATCGTGGGTATGTAAATAAGCGGAGTCACCAACCTACCCCCCCCCCCCAGCGCCTGCCCGCCCCGGCTTCCGGAAATACTGTACCTTGCATCATCCATCGGTTGTTTTATCCCCTGCTAGGCCGAAGGCCACCGCTAGGGGGCAGAAAGAAAACCAGACAGACAAGATTGTATCTATACCTGGTCAAAACGTATCTATACCTGGTCTGACTTTGTTTTATAATTGACACTCCAATTTCAAACTACTCTTGAAGTAAAACAATAAAATTGAATTTAAAAAGAAAGGCAGGGCCTCCCCGGTGGCGCAGCGGTTGAGCGCTGGGTTGTGAAGCTGACCGCAGCCTCTGCAGCGCCGGTTCGATCCCTGGCTGCTCCCCGGCCACCGGAGGAGGGTCCCGCATGGCGCGCAAACCTCTACTGCCACCCGCTGCTCCCCTCAGCAGTGTACTTCGGTCCTTCTGCCTGCTCTGCTCCCCGCTCTGGCTCTGGTGAATTCTCTCACCCTCCCGCGCTTCTGACTGTACCCAGTGCTGGTATAAATAAATAAACAAATAAACCTTTAAAAAAGAAAAAGAAAAAGAAAGGCACGAAGAGAATTGTCTTCATTCATTCATTCAACAAAAATGCGTGGAACTGTGTCAAACCCTGCGTGAGGCCCTTGGAGTAGACATGTGCCATGAACACTAGTGACAGAATGTTCAGTGACACATGGACGGAGCATTAGGGAGCTATAGAAGTCAGGTGGGAGGAAATTCTAGGCAGAGAGGCCCCACAAGCACTGTGAGCTGAAGAAGTGAAAGGGCAAGTGGCTAAACTGGCAGGGGCCTTCAATGCTGAGCTCAGAGCTTAGATTTGCCTTGAAGGCAACGGGGAGCCATTGAAAAGCTTGTAGGCGCTGAGGA